CATTGCGATAAAACTACCTATGTTGTCTCTCTAAATATTTCAGTCTGCCGTTTATAATTAAAATTTTAACAGCTTATTTGCCTTGGGAGCTTTTACAATAGATATAAGCAGCACACATATTTTCGCATCATCTGGTGATCATTAAGAGAAGACTAAATCACGATATGCTTTTGTTATATTTTATTAATTTATTTCCCATTTCACTCGATTGATAATCTTATACCTCTATGAGGCAAACATTTAATTGTTCTAGTTCTTGAGATGTTGAACTCATTACATATAAATGAAAATTTGAGAAATTCATGTAATCTAGTTCAAGAATATGAATTCCCTATTTCTCGTCATTGTTTTGCAATATATTTCTTATGAATGCTTGTTGTTTGCTCATCAACAGTCTCTTTGTATGTTTGTCTGTATCTCAATAAATTCTAGTAAACATCCATATGTTTGCTCATCTATATCGATAAACATACCTTAAAGTGATGTCACATTTTTATAAGTACGGGTGCATCCCTACATATTTAGGTATTTATACACAAACATAGATATATAAATGGATGACGATGCATAGATTACAATGAATATTTGTGTGCATCCATATATGCGTACTCACTTAAATGCATGCATCATTCAATATTTTATCCTTCCAAAAGTTAATGCTCTTTTATGTACTATATATATACAATTGTTATACACATAAATTTGATGTGCACATTCATGATGTCCCTTTGGCTTGAACACTTCCAAATATCTAAATTTGAAATTATATAAAACATATATTAATGGTGTTAAAGTGCCCTATTTTGTTTACGTATCTGTAAAACCAAGGGTCATTTGCATCTATGCTCATCGTTAGTGCAACTTGAAATTCCGATATATGGTTATTAATTCTACAACTATGGTTGCTACTTGAACTAGAAACTAACACTTGTTGTCATTTTTTAGGAAAAATTAGAAATACTGAAAGACAAGAAGATGATGAAGAATGAGGATACCAAATCTGCAAAGCAAGAGGACAATCAAATAGATGCCGAAAGAATGAGGCGCCAATGGCGGGAGGGCTATCAAATGGAACCTAAGAGAGAGAAAGCACATTAAATTGTCAAACACTGAGCACACAACGTCGACTGAGATGAATAATAAAAGGAAGAGAGAGTATCAGCAAAAGAATGAACTAAAGGTTCCAGAATTCTCTCTAGAGCTTGAAACGGATGAAATTGTTGAAGACAGTTTTTCTGTGACAGGAAAATGTTCATTGTCTTTTTTCCAAAATACCTACTCAAGTCTTGCCGTCTAGAAAGATGATCAAAAGGGAGAAAGCGTGCAAAGAATATTGATGTAATAGCTAATAATTTATTTCAAACAATAATTGTTCTCTTAACCTTTCTTATTTTAATCTTTTATATTTTATTGCAGTTACTTTTTCCTGGCGGATATTTGGAAACAGTAACAGTTGATCGTTATAAAGTTTCTACAAACTACAGGAAGGTATAGTTCTCCTCCTTTTGGTTAAATATGTTGTTCAGTGTTGCAAATTTATGATATTACAAGATATGAAATGCTAGTAATTTTATTTCTGGCAAGCCAGCTAAAAATGCTGTATCAGTTGTTTTCAACAAACATATTGGAATGTTTTAAAGGCTTGGCTGCTGTAGGAAACTTGACCATTTATGTGGGTCATTTGTTTACCTGAAGTCCTCTTGGAGATTTGCATCTTTGCTATGAAAAACATTTTTATTTTCGTTAGTAGTCTGAGAAGCATGATTATTTTTTTTTTACTGTTTTCTTTGAAGAATTTGAGCCTTTTATTTAAGTAAGTAGTGCAAGTTGTGTGCATAAAAAGTATGAAACACAGTTGTCTTCTACTTTTGTAGTTATGAATAAAATGTTTTGCATTTGCCTTGATCTCAGAAATTTTTAAGCTCTGATATCACTTGTGTGGTTTCTTTGTGGTTTTTTCATTAGAATGGTTTCTAACATCTCATTACTTGCTCATATGTCGATAACTTCGGATTCTTACTAGGTGTCTTGGGATCATCTGTCGATGAAGTCCAAATTTTTTTAATGCTATATTGTTCAGTTGGGTTTGTTTGCCGATGGATGATTGCAATGTGCTGAGTTATAAGCAGTGAATGTAACATAAATGCTCGTTCAATCTCAATTATACATTTTGTGCCTATATTTTATGTATTTGGATGAATGTCTATGAGTGCCTAATGCATTTTTGTCCATTTACACATTAACAGGAATACATGCTGTGTTGGCGCAAATCGAGCACAAGATATTCGTGCTGGCTTTTGTGCTACCATTGGGCGTAACATCATATGTGCCCGTTCGGAGCTTCTTTTGGTATAGAGTGTAACTATTTGTCATAATATTGGAAGTTTGTAATTTTGAAAGATAATTTGTTGTTTGTCATAATTTTAAAATATAATTGGAATTTTATGTAATGACTAATGCGCTTGATACCATAACAGCTTATGATTCAGCTTATTTTTACGGATGTAATTATGTATCAGAGTTGAGAGATCCGAATTATGATTCTCTTGCACTGTGAATTAGGTACAAGTTGTGCCGATTCACTATTTGAAAAGATGATGGTCATGTGAAAAAATGATGAGAGATTCAACAAAATAATGAAAGGTGTTTAGATTTTCGAGTAGTTGAGTTGATTTTGTGGAACCTTTTCTTTCTTTCTTTACATTTATTTTTGTTTTCTACAAAACAAATATTGTGTTACATTGTAAGATTGAAAAGGAAAAAAATATCAGCATTTGGGAAGATGATTTCAGTGGTAAAATTACACACTGACACACAATTAGCATTTATAAAATCACAATGGGAAAATTTTACCAAGGACTAGAATATCTATCATAAAAATATGCAACATTTTTATATATGCTGTACTAAACTTGCAAAAACTATTAAGAAAAAAAAAAAGATTATAAGTTAACCTTTGCCACATTGTATACATTGTACATGTACACTTGCAATTAAGCCTTCAATAAATGTGGTTGGCAAACATTAGTTGTGAATTGTGATGACATCATGTAATTAAATGTCCTCAACTTTGCAAATATGTAAATTTTACTATTCCTTATATAACAATCCAGTTCAAAATAATTATAAACACCTTTTTACTCAAGTCCATCACTTGATTTTTTTTTTATTATTATTATTATTATTTGGTTTTGATTTTTTGTGATTTATTCAATTGAATCACTTGAGTTCAAATCACAATACTTTCAACAACTTGAAGGGATATGATATCTAAATGTTAGAAACTACTATTTGGTATATAGAATTATGATAGGTCAGTTTTGCTATGGAGCCATCGGATGATTCGGTTTATTTATTCACAAATGATGTATTGACACGGGTCCTGCAATAAATATTTATTAGACATACGTCAATACTTAAAGTGATGAATGACTCCATAAGTGAGTCTGATTCCATAAAATTATATCTAGTTGGCAACTAAATTTCAGTAGTGTAAAATAAACGAATTGAGAAATAAACAATCAAATTTTATTGGGCTCAACACACAAAATCATGGGTGGATTTTTCATATTGCTTAAAGGAAATTGTATGTAATACACTAATACAATACATTTTATGAAGATTTTTTTCCAAGTGTAATGGAATCGCCAAATTTATTTCCTATTTGACTCCTAAAGACAATACCTTGTATGGAATGACAATAATATAGACAATGAAGATTTTGTTTTCTTGCTGGCATTTCTACTCCTTTTTATGGATAATTATCTATAAGATGTCTATTAAAATCTTCTTGAACGTTCAAGTGTAGTTAAGTGGTAACACGCTTATACATTGTAATTTCAATGGATTAATGAATAATGTCTTACATTTGAAAATATATAGCGATGGTTGGTTTTGTAATTTTTTAATTATGCTAGTGATAATGATATTATAAAGGAAAAAAGTGAAATAAAAGAATACATATTTGTTTTATAATCAAATGTTATTTTCATTCCTAGTTTATTGCACAAATAAAAAAGAAAATCTCATTCACCACAATATTTTTTCTTTGACTTTTTTTCAAAATCCTCTTTTAGAAATGTATACACATAAATTACATCACATATAAATTGCAATTCATTTTTCAACTCACATCAATATCTTATTATATGAAACCAATGAAGAAAATCTAGGGCTTTAAAATACCTTTTCATTGATATACGTTGCGACAAAATATCGCTTTTAAACTTTACGTAAGTAATACAGTTGTCGAGCAATCGTTTATTTGACCGTTGATCTTTAGTTTCGTTAGTTTAAATATAGTATTTTTATCATTATGAAAAAATATATTTTGATATATACATATGTAAAATGAAGTCAATAAGTTAGATTTTCCCTAAACATATTCAATAGATCATAGGGGAAAAATATGACATCACGAGACTATATAATGCATCACAACCGAAAAAGAATAAATTAAAATAATTATATATGACGTTTGTCTACCAACACACACAGAGACACGCCGTGTCAACAGACACACACGCACACATTTATGTATAATAATATTATATTGTATTTATGTGATTATATAATTATAATTATAATATTATATTGTTTTTATGTCATTATAATAATATTATTATCATTTTATTTTATTCTTCAGTAGTAACCGTCTTCTCTTCTTCCAACTCGGTGCCTCCCTTTGCCAAAGTGCAGACTCCCTTTCTCTCTCTAAAACTCGAGCTTCACTCACTTTCTCTCTCTAGAAACCCTCTCTATCGACAAAATCTCACTCATCGTCTTCACGTCCGTACACACATTCACCTGTCCGTACGCATTCGCCATGGATTAGACCGATTTGTTCTCGGAGTGAAATTCCGCCGCCGATCAGGGTTCCGACAGTTCGCATTCCCCGTATTTTTTTTTTGTACATTTTTACCGGCGATTTTTTCGCTTCGATTCTCCGAGAAATTATAATTTCTAGGCGCCTTTTTTCGAGCTTTTTTTGTTCTGCTGCTATGGAGCCCACAAGCCCTCCAAAGTCCCAGCCGCAGCCGCTGCACAACTTCGACCTGCCGCTCCTCAAGTGGATAACGACTTCCAGCTCGAGCGAAGGAGGCGGCGGTCACCACCAGCGCCGCCGCTCGGTCAAATCGCCATCCGTAAGGCCGAGCGGGTCCTCCTCCGCATCTTCAGCTCGCCAACCTCCGCCGCCGCGCGATTCCATTCCTCCTCCTCCTCCGCCGCCGCCGCCGCCGCCGCCTCTTCCGCCGGTCGATCAGTCGCCGCTGCGTGAATTCGCGGCGTTGCCGCTCCGCGAGTCACCGATCCGTGGGGATATCGTGGTTAAGCATTCTCCTGTGCGGGGAGAATCGGCACAGCTGTCTCCGGCTCGAGACAGCCATCTGAAGAACTCGCCGGTCGACAGAGACCTGGAGAGGTTGTCCTCGATCCGTGAGGATGCCCTGCGGATGTTCGGGACCAGCTCGGAGGCATGGGCAAAGCAGACTAAGGCTGCTCCAATTGTGTACCGCGGGAAGCATTCCAGGTATTCCTCCTCGAGTAGCATGAAGATTTGTTCTTCGAGTGCTGAAAAGGCTAAGGAGAAAGTAGAAGAGAAAATCGAGACGAAACTTAAGGCGACTGAAGACGATTTGCCCCCGGCTGTTACCAGATCGAAAATCCTGATAAAAATTCCTAACAAGAGCAAAAAATTGAAGGAGGAAAATGCTAAGGAAGAGGCACCAAAGATGTCTGATGACAATGGAACTGAGAAGAAGTTGCAGGAGGAGGGAAAGGACAAAGATTTTGAATTTGAGGCCAAAATTCCTGATGATGTAGATGATGAGATAAAGATTTGGAATTTGAGGCCGCGAAAGCCAAAAGCCAAGACACAAAATGCAGCTTTTGGTGCATTCGGTGCAGAATATGGTAATGTGTCTGGAAATACTGGAAAAGCTAAAAAAACTGAGTCACCCTTGAAGAAGACAAATAAATCTGGGGAAAAGGACTCAAATCGTGGTGACGGTGCTGAGGAGAAGGACAAGGAGAAAGACAAGGATAAGGACAAGGAGAAGAAGGAGAAGAAAGCGAAGAAGAAGCTGAACATCTTTATTGCTCTAACAAAAGAGGAGATTGAGGAAGATATTTATGCTTTCACTGGATCAAAGCCATCAAGGAGGCCAAAGAAGAGGGCCAAGAACATTCAGAAGAAACTGGATGTAAGATGAATAATCCCCTCTTTGATTCTTCAATCTCATTTACATTTTGACCCAAAAAAGTTTTGTTTTTGTTGAACTGTTTTCTCTGTAGATGTTATTTATTAATTGAACAATTCTCTTGATTGGCAGGCTGTATTTCCTGGACTGGGTCTTGTCTCAATAACACCAGAGTCTTATAAGGTGTCTGAGAACTACATGAAGGTATAATCCTGATTTGTCTTATCAGGTCTTGTTGCTTTAGGGTTGAGTTGGTTTGACACTTCACTGATAGTTAATGAATGCTATATGCAGGGTTAGATGCAATGAGAAGAAGATATATATGCCCTTCAGATGTTCTTTCTGGACGAATGAGGCGCCCTGCTTGTAAGGTATAATTGGCTGTAACTTGTAAAGCAGGACGGACGCAAAACTGCTATGTTAGGGCTAATTTACCGTTTATTTCATGCTGATCTCGAAACTTTAAGAAAACCGTGGTTTTTTAATTATCAGTACTTGCAGATGTAAACTATGGATTCCTGGCTTTAATATTTTCGTATGAAGTACTCATTTTGTGTGTTTAATTTACCTTCCACTATTTGCTAGAGTTGTCTTTGTTCACCTAATGTGGTTGCCTGTGAATTGCAATGTGCATGTAGCAGTCGGGATACTGCTAATTACACGTGGAGTATATTGTACTGGTAATTTGGGAGTTGTTTTGTATTGTGCCATGCAAGTCTGAATTTGGGTCAGCTCATCTTGTTTAGTATAAAGTATTAAGAGGCGCAGGCCGTGGTTAGTTAATAGCATATGATTACTATATCTGAACCACTAATGCTCAGATTCACGGTTTCATCTTTAGTTATTTATTTAATTTTTTGTCCGTTTTCGTATAACCTCATTTGGTAACAGGCAACAAAGATGTTTTATTTGGGTTATGTGAAAATGACAATGTTATTTCTTGTTGGTAGTTTCATGCTTCTGGATTTTGTCGAAATTAGTAAGTAGTGCTAGAAATTCAACAATACTTTACGATAATCCAGGATTCTTCTATACAACGTTTAAACCTCATTTTGTAATAGGCAACATAGATATTTTATTTGGGTTATGTGAAAATGGCAATGTTATTTGTTGTCGGTAGTTTCATGCTTTTGGATTTTGTCGAAATTAGTAGGTAGTGCTAGAAATTCAACAATACTTTACAGTAATCCAGGATTCTTCTATACGATGTTTATCTTGTATTGATGTATAAATGCATCAAAGCTAAACTGTGTGGCAAAATAAATGATATTTTGCTCAAAACTATATCAATGGATGCACGGTGGATTCTTCTGCGAACAACTGTATTAGAACCTCTTATCTTTTAACTCGTTTTTTTAATCTATAAAGCTCAATAAAGGTCTAGTTTCGTCATAAAATTCTGCTGTTTGTTACAAGTTACTGGACACCTATATGCAATGTTGATGATACCCCTCCCTCCCCCCCAAAAGAAGGAAAAATGAATTGTTATGTTGCGACAGATAATGTTTTTTAAAAAAAAAAAAAATATGTCAAATATGAAATAGATGTGCATCATTAAGGGTTTTTTTTTTTTTTTTTTTGGGCTACATTATGTGGTTTTTATGACTGTAATTTATGTTGATGGCTGCAATCAAATTATTGTAAAAATTGTAGGTAATGGCCAGCACACACAATTACAAATTTTCCAAATATTTCCAGATCCTCAATTTTTTTTCCATACATGCTCCAAATCTTATTTCGAATTTTTGTAATGGCATCTGCGCACCCACTCCCCAGCATCTGTTTTAAACACGCATCTTCAGGACTTATCTTTTATTGTTGCCCCAATATTTAACTTTAATGGCTTCTCCGTTTTTACAATCTAATTTATTTTGCATAGAAGAAATACATTTGTCGTTGTATCATATGAAAACAATAAAAGGAAGACTTGATTAATGAAATGATTATTTTTTTGGGGTTACCTCGGTCATTATATTACTAGAAATGTATCTGAATATAAGAAATACCGCTTCTCTACAACATCAACATTTTTTTGATGCAAAATTTATATGATTGTTTGCATGAATTTCGTTAATTGAGATCTTTTGAGGCTAAAGAGAACCGAGTTGTGATAAATAAAGAAATACATTATTGAGGTAACGTTGTATGTATATGTGCGTATGTGTTTCAATGTGAGTATGTAATTATACAAATGGTTGTTGTTCACAGCAATAAATGTGAACGCAACCCCTTTTTCGTCGCTATATGTTCTTTAGGTTCTATATGCTAAGTTTGTACACTTTGTGATACGACATGAGTAATATTATGTGCATACAAATATTACACACTTAAAATTAAACATTCACCTCTGTCAGATTCACAGATTATATACCTAATCTGAAATGGAGCAAATGTGGACATGTATTTATGTTTGCATAAATGCACCAACCATTAAAGGAAAGATGACAAATATTATTAAAAGCAGAAGGCGAATTTAGTAATTAGAGAGTGAATAGATGGAATCTTATGAAAATAGGATTTTCAATTTTCTAAAAGTCGTTCTTTTGACTCTGATTGCAGGTCCGTCGCTAAAAAGGCTGCTGGAAAGAAAGATAAGTGAATATGGTGAGGAAGAGCGTTAAAAGAAAGCAGGTGATGCAAGAAGACATGGATTTGCCAGATGCCCGGCCTAATGTGTCTCTCGAGCTTTTAATCGAGATTAGATTTCAGATAACATGCTTGTGATGATGGGAAAAGAGCCTTCTCGAAAGTTCAATAAGACAGGGAAGAATGTCCATAACTTGGTTGATGTGGAGAATTATTTTCTTATTAATCAATTATTTTGATTCTTGTATCCTTCTACGTCTTTTATGTCTTTTCCTAACACCAAGGATTTTTGCAGCTACTTTTTCGCGGTGGAGATTTTGATACGGTCACAGTTGGCCGATATAAACTTTCTGCAGAGAAGAGGATGGTATAATTCTTTCTCTTCTGGTTATTATTTTATGGCTGGTGGTGGAAAAGGAAAATACAAATCATGTATTACTAGTTCTGAGTTGAACGTAAACATTGAACTTGCAAGCAGAATAGGAATGTCGGGTTCGGGTTTCTAATGGATTGAGCCTGGTAAATTTGGAAAAATTTTTCTTATTAATTTGTCAGGATCATGTTTAGATGTATGATTAAGCTGACTAAATAGCTTGAAAAAGTTTCATTCGATGTTTCTCTCATAAAAACATATTAACATAAGTATATACTCGAGTAGAATACAAACTACAAAGTGCATTAGCTGAAGAATCAATGATAGATTAGTGCAAAAGAAAGTTTGCAACGTGTAACTGCTCTGGGTAAAGTGATACAATGTACACGTTTTGGTTCCAATTTTAACGCTTCTGGCAAGCTTCTTTTCCCTGAGATGGCTCTGTAGCAAAATTGAATGTTTAATATAAATGAGAATCTCATGAAAGATTTGTGCCTTTTTCTTTAATATTTATTTTCGCTACTGAGAAATAATACCATTATGCTACTTGGTTATGAGAATGACGGATAATACTCCTTTGCAGCCTTGCAGGTTACAGGAACTATGTGAGTGAGAGTTTTGGGGCACTTGTATTTTTTGTCATTTCATTTCTATAGTATTTATGTTTGTTAAGCTACATTTGTCGACACTCTTTGATGAGATACTCGGCTTTGTTATAAAATTTTCATTTTACATCGAAGTATATTTTCTAGGTGGATTTGTAAACGTGTTCCGCACATTTGCTATTTTTTTTTCCAAACCGATTGCATTAAACTGAACTCAAAAAAGATTACAAACTGGATGTCACCTGAAATCAAGACACCCTGGATTGAACTATCCAGGTGGGAAGAGGGGGTAGCCAAACATAAGAGGCTTCACCCCTAAGAGCCAACTCGAAAGTCATGCCAGGGATCTATGTGCATATGGGACTATTAGGAAAAAGCGAATCTATTCTCGTAACTTTAGAGTTTATTCTCTTATAGTGTACACTCCACTTACAGAAAATCAAGTTTTGTCTATGATTACTAGTGAGAATCCCGTGCGATGCACGGGGATTTTGTAATATAAAATATTTTTTTTTTAATTTTTATTTTAACAATGTATTAGCATGTTGATCCGTCCATATCAATATAAATAATATTTTAACATATGTATTTATTTTTTAATACAAAAAATAAGAATTTTACATATTTTGGTTCATCATAATACTCAAATATTACTTTATTAAAAAATTTATTGTCATATAATGTCAATATTATTTATACCATTTATAGAAGTATTTTTTTTATATAATGGTAAATATTTAATGTATGTTAATATTATTTATTGATGTGATTAATTTAAAAATATACAAGTAAATGTAATGTTTGTTAGGAATGGCGATAGATCTTGATATTTTAAGTACAAATATATGAGATAATATCTTGAGATACAAAAAAAAAAAAATTATGTGATTTATTACTTTAATTAATCATCCCAATTACCTAAATTGTATTTTTAAAACATGACAAAATGTTTAAAAGTTTCCAGAATAGTAAACAACATTTTTTTGGTGGGAAATAATTACTATTTAAAAAATAATCAAACATTTCTATATAGATATAGATTTGCCCATTATGTTAACTAGTATTCATCTTGTGCACATGCACAAAGAAAAATAAAAATTCATATATTATATTTATGTATACAATATATACAAATTTTATATTAAATAATTGATGTATTACATTTTAAATTTGGACTACATGCAAATGTGTAATGTAAATATAATTTATTTAACTTACGTATGAATCTTTATATTGATGTCATAAATTTTAATAGCTAATATAATTTAGTAATTTACAGAGACCATACAATTAATTAGTTAGAAAAGTATTACAATTATTTTTATCATTGTTATAACATTTTTTTATGTGATTTTAAGGTGTTTAATTATGACACTCATGCCAATTAACTTATTAGATAAAAATCGCTTAAAAAGAACAAAAATATTTTATTTTAAAAAAAAATATTTTAAAGAAAAAAATTGCAATACAATTTTTTATAAGTATGTAACTTCCACATACTATTTAATGTAAAGTTGTAATCAATTAGTGTTAGTAGTGAATAAATTATATTAAAATTATTATTACACCTTATTAATGAAAAATATAACGGTTCTACATTAATTGAAAAAATGAACGAGAAAATGAATGGAGATTTTATTAAATGTTTTATTAAATTCTATATGCTAGCAATTATATATATATAGATTTATATGAAATATTCTTCCTTTATTATCATTATTTTAACTTTTTTAATGTCAAAAAATAATTTAACCCTCGTCTCTCCTCTCGTGCTCTTCTTGTGCCAAGGTCGACGCATTATTTGCCGGGGGTCTACCATCGCCGGGCGGGTAGACCTTGGTTTGTGTTTTGGGGCGGGTGGACGGAGGGTTTCAGCAGCTAAGTGTCGTGGTGGGGCCGGCGCTCGTCTCACCTCCTCTCAGCTTTTCCTGTGATTGTGATGGGGCTGGTGTCTTCTCTGCCGGGAATCCGCAACCAGCGAGCGGGCCGTCCTTTTTTGAGTTTAGGGACAAATAAATGGAAGGCTTCGGCCGTCAAGAGCCATTAGACGGTGGTCGATTGCACTGAAGGCTTGTTGGGGTTCGATGATTTCAAATCTGGCTAGTCATAGCCATTCCAGAGTTTGGAATTTTTGGATTTGTATTCTTGGCTGGAGTTAGGACTCTTCTTCGTAAACTGGTTGTATCGGTGGTGAAGTTTGACTGTGGCTAAGGGAGGCTTCATTGTATTTATAGGTAGTTCTTTTTAGTTAGGCTTTTTTCTTTTTTAAAGACCGCATTTACCCCTGTATGACTCGAACTCAAGACCTAGTTAGACTTTTAGGTTGTGTTGTTGACTAAATTGTACTAAAGAAAAGGAACAAAAATGGAATAAACAATGTATATTTGTAAAAGTAAATCTAGATCAAAATTAGAAATACAATTGTGCCAACTGCCAAATGAAATTAGATATACTGGTGAATTCTGGAATTGCTGTTAAGAAGCCTACATGCAATGACTTGGTCATAAAAGAGAAACCTAATAAAAAACTAATTATATTAGTTACGTCTAACTTTATATCTCATACCTACACACTCGCCCTTGGACATTTGGGCCTCCACCCTCTCCATCTCAACATCGTACTGCTCCTCTCTGAAATCAATCTCCAATTCATATTGCGATATTTTAAGCTGTCATAGAAAGCAAAAGGTTAACATTCAAAACTCGTAGAAAAGTACAGCACATACTTCGGAGTTCTGGTGTTTTATTTCACCTCGGCAAAAGCATGTCCGTAAGGTTTGCCATCATAGAGCCTTTCCAAGGCTGCCTTCATATCCTGGTGAGTTCAGTTCTGAAAAAGGTTAGCACACACACATATACAAGCATGGCTGCAGACCATATAGAAGAGAAAAATAATTTCTCTAGAAAATAGAAAAGGAAATACGAGGTAGATACTTGGCCATGTACCTTAAAATCACCGGCAAATCTAGTGTAATACTGAAGGAAGGCACTTATGTTGTCGTTGGCCTTAGCAGCAGCAGTCCTCCTATCAATTATTGGTTTCAATTGTGCTAGACTATATTCTTTCCATTTCTGAGACACCTTCTCATACACATCTTTGTGCAACCAGTGCAAGATAACAATGCTTAAAAAAACCCTGAGATAGAGATAGATGAACAATTGTTTTATTTCAAAAACACAAGTTTCAAATCTCCATCAACATGAGAAATCGCTAAAGGAGTATTTTTGGGGAAAAAAAAAACACCTGAGAGCAGGACCAACTTCATTATTATTAATATGTTCCCCATAATATTGTAGCCCAGGATCTCCCCTGATGTCATTAATTGTAGCTATGAAATCCTCTGTCTGAACCTTTACTCGTTCGCCAGATCGGGATACAAAAGTACGAGCTTCAGTGTCCTAAGAAAGATAACAAAAAATTGAGATTAACGAATAAAAATTAAGTGTACATGACGAGATACAAACACCCCCAATTAAGATTAAAATAAAGTAAGATTAAAATATACCCTCTTAATTCTCTCAAAAAGCAGATGAATAAAATGGGAATCCTCAAGAACTTCGTGAGCTACATCATAATGTTGTTTTGCGAAGTTTAAGGTGTCGACATCTCTGGGATCGTATTTGAGAAGGAACCCCATACATTCTAGTGCTTTTTCAGAAAGGCGCGGATCTTTCATCAAGTCTTCAGCCAACTCTTCAATGGCTGGTTCCTAAGTTCAGTAAAACAATAACTTCAGCTTTCTGCTAAACTCAAGAGTGCTTTAACTGATACATACACACACACAAACACAGATAAGATACATTATTTACGAGCTAATGATGATTTTTTAGGTGATTAAGAGCTTATTGGTGACTTACCATTTTCATGTGCAAGCTCAGTTGTTATTACAATAAAATAAAATTAATGAAAATGAATGCAGGAATCGATTTCATCTGTTGGCAACATGACAAATATAAATTTCTTATGTTATAGAAAATAACTTGCAACACTCGAAAGAGATTAAAAAGAACAATTAAGAGATACATACTTCGTAAAGTATCTGAACAGGGCTGCCATACTCCATCAACCACTCGCCATGCTCCTGAAATTGCATAAAAAGAAGAACCATAGAAAGAATGAACAAGAAACCACCATAAATATTACACTGAGGAATAATCAAAGGTATAAATAAACAACTTGACACATAATTTCCTTAACTAAAACCCAACCAAAACTATACTTGAGAGTATACCTCTCTTTCCAGTTGAAGTTTCTCATCAAACTCAACACTGACATTGTCAGTTTGGTCTTCAACTGCATCACATTCATCTTCTACAGCGACAGATATTTCTTCACCAGATTTCAACTTTGTAGGTAGCTCTTTATAACTCCAATAACTGATTATAACGGCTAAGAGTCCCCTTCATAGAGAGAAATAGAGAGATAAAAAGAAGAACTAAGACCATTAAGGGCACGAAATTTCTAGTGAAACAATGAAACTTTACTAGTATTAGAAATCCCTTGAACACACAATGCACATCTTACAATCGTATTTAACAGGCAAATGTTCACATAGAAAACAAGAAAAAAAAAAAAAAAACAGTTTTTTGAAGAATCGACACATCCAACAGTGAGAACAATAACATACAATATTTTGTTTATCTTTACATGGAGAAAAAATTGATACCTTATCATTGTAGCTGCTGCACCAGGTGTGTTTGCAACTTCCAGAATGTGTCTCAAGTTCTGATCTTCTTTGATACGACACATCCGTTCTTCGATTTTTTCTGATGTAACTCCATTAGAAAGTTCTTCTATGACGGCAGGCAAAACACATTTCTATAAAAATGCAAAAAAATTAGTTTGTTTCAATGTGCATAACAAGATAACATGATGTATGAAGTTAAGTAATTTTGACAAGGCATAATACCGGTTTGGCAATTATTTCACAGATCCCAGTCCTAAAATGTCTATTTCTCCAAGTTTTCAACACCAGAGCAAAATGTTTGAGTGCATCATAATTGAGAGTGCCATCCGCTAGTACTTTAGAACCTCGGAGTGCCTCCAAGAGCTGTTGTGCCGTCTTAACGACCGGTTGAATTTCAGCCAAACGATTGCACAAACCGTCAATGATTGGATCCTATCCACGTTTTCCGTATTAATGAAACTCCACTACATTTAATTGGTGAAAATTATAAAATAATTCTGTAAGATCCTCTCCCGGAGTTAAAAACAAAAGATCGGTCGAGACTATGAACACAGTAATATGAATAACCCCCCATTTTACTAGGGCTCAAAAAGAGAGAGACGCGATATCATCAGATTTTTAATTAGATACTAATTCAAACGAAATAATAAAAAAAAAAAGGATAAGAAAATACGTTGAGAAATCTAGTGGCGAGAGGCTGATCGAGTAGTCCTCCAATGGATGGTCTCTTGGCAACCGCCTCATCTTCTGCGGCAGCTTGATGAGGGCTCAATTGTCTCTTCTCTGCAATGATACCTTCCGACATCTTCTCTGCATTAAAACGTTCGCCGCCTTCGGGCATCTCTGCAATAATACGTCCACCGCCTTTGGACATCTCGGCAATAATACGTTCGCCGGAGATGGAATAGAGATTACACGGAGGTCGCCGCGCCAAGTTCAAGAAATTGAGAGAAAAAAGGCTAATTCAATTCCGGGTTCAAATTACCGAGGTCGCCGCGTCAAGTTCGAGTCACCACTGTGTGAGCCCAACACACCCTTTTAGGAGAGCAAGCCCATTTGGACATGCCTAGTCGACATAAGTTTTGGAAAATAAACTTTTGCTACATAAATTAAAAATAAACTATAAAGTTAGTATTTTTAAAATTAAAATAAACACTTCATAAGTATTGTTGACATAGTTTATAATGACATTTATTTAAATAAGACTTCAATAATTAATATCGTATTTATAACTTACCATAAACAATTATAATTTAGATACAACTTAAAGCCACAAGTTTGTAATTTAATTTGTATTTTAATTTTAGTTTGCAACAAAATATTATTCTTCTCTCTCCTCTCTTTATTTCTCTCTCTATAATCATCATCTTCTTCCTTACTTCTTCAAACACAAAAAATACAGAAAATTACAAAAAATATATAAAAAATATTACTCTCTCCTATTTTTTTTTTTCTAAATATCATTTTGGTTTTATCAACTATTAACTAAATAAATGTCGTTTTGAATCTTTTGTACATGTTTTTACATTATTACCCTCATTTAATTAATAAATATATCACGTCTTTTCATAATTTCTATTCATTTTTTTTTTCAAAATATTCATTTTTATCTTCATTAAATAAAGATATTATTGACAAATAAAATATTTTTAATTAATGTGCAATTTCTCAAAACGACATATATTAAAAATAGGAGGTAGTACAATTTATTCCGGGACATAACAAAGTAATAAAGAATATGATTTTTTTATTTATTTTCTTGCAAATAATAATAAATATGATTTAATGACCAAAATATCAAACGAAGACATAAATAATTTTTTATTATGGAGTTGAGTTAGATATATAAATTTAGATTCCTTTGGAGTTGTCAGATAATCTCGACCTAATCGTCATTGAAGATAGGTGCCTTATCGCCTCCGGCCATCGCCTTTCCTCTTAGACTATCTTTACTCTTTGGGTCACGCCAATAAAACAAAAAAAAAAGTAAGAAAAAGTCACAGAGCGCGCGATCCAGGTCACATTATGACCTCGGGTCGTGACCAGGGTTTTGTGTAAAATTGGGACACATGTCCATTTTTATTAGACAATTTTTTTTGTTTCTAAAAAAATAAAAAAAATAATACTAAAATTATTATTTTTTCATTATCTACAAATAGAGACCACACATGATATATTTTGGAACACATTTGTAATTTTTAAATAAATTAAAATAAAATAAATATTTAGGTTGAGTTGGGTTGGGGATAAAGATAATTTAGGTTGGAAGATAGAGTTGTATAAGTAGAGGAGAGAGAAATAATATTTAATTGTTGGGTTGAGTTGTATAACGAATATGATTCTTTTTTTTTTGCATATAATAATGAATATGATTTAATGACCAAAATATCAAACGATAAGATGGAGTTTAAACACAAAAAAAAAGAGGAAAGGCAGATTAGGAAAATGAATATGAAGATGTTGAATACGTTGTTGGCAAAAGACCACTTATCGCTGGAAGATGAAGATATGAAACGTCAATTAACAACAATTATATTTGGAAAGTTGCTGTAATTTAATTTGAAATGTTTGTAACTTGTTTAATTTATTTCGTATCGAATTATGTAATTTTAATTTTTAATTATGTTAGTAATTTTTTTAATTTATGTAATTACAATTATATTACAAATTTTTTAATTAATTTATCACAACTAAAATAATATCAAAAAATGTAATGTAGATAATATTTAATAAATAAATAAGTAAACATAAAGTAAATCAGTTTTTCTATATAATAAAACCAGATGTTCGGTGGGGTTGAGCTAGTTGGAAACAAAGATATGTAGATTGTGGCCTTGTTTGGTGATCAGCGGATAGCGGATAGCGGATTGTATTAGCGGATAGTGGATAGTTATATTAGCTGATTTGACTAGCGGATTGCATTAGTGGTTTTTAAATAAGTGTTTGGTAAATAGCTGAAAGTGTTTGGGCCTAAAAGGCTTATCAAATAAGCTATTTACCAAACAAGCTCAATAGCATATTTGACGGATCAAACCTCTCAATTAAGTCCAATCCGCTAATTTATCCTCAATCCGCTATGTTCATACGGGGCTGTGTATGTGAAAGACGGAAATAATTTTTTATTATAGAGTATTGGGTATATAAATTTAGATTCCTTTGGAGTTGTAGAGGATCGCATAATCGTCATTGAAGATAGGTGCGAACTCCAGCCATCGCCTCCGCATAATCTCTCTTTTTCTCTTACGTCCAAGGTGTGTTTTGTTAATTCTCCCAAATTAAAACTTTTTATGTTTTTTGATTTTAGAATAATAAAAAATCTATGTAATTTGTAGGACGAGAAAATGTCTGTGGATAAGGGAAAAGTGAGCTCGGCTGCAGAAGAAGATCATGAGGCGATATCCATTATACTCAATCAGCCTCTCGCTACTAGATTTCTTGATGTATGTATCTTTTTTCTTTTCTCGTTTTTTTCATAACAATATATATTCATGTTGTTTTCCGTCTCAATTTCTTCTTCAATTTACGCTATTAGTTTTTACCAACAATTCGGTAATGGAATATAATTGTTACAAGATTTTACCGACAAGACTTGATTGAATTTTTTCCCAAGCCTTGGTAAAGGAGGAGGGTTGTGATAGGCAACGTAAAACCTAGCCATTCTATGGAGATGAAACTTAATTGAATTTCATTGATACGCAAATCGTTGGTAGGATCCTATCATTAACGGCTTGTGTGATCGTTTGGCTGAACATCAACCGCTTGTTAAGACGGCACAACAGCTTTTGAAGGCACTCCGAGGTTCTAAAGTACTTGAGGATGGCAATCTCAATGATGACGCCCTAAAACATTTTGCACTTCTGCTGAAAACATGGCGTTGTAAACATTTCAGATCGGGGATAAATGAAATAATTCACCAATCGGTACTTCTATGGTTAAAAATGACCTTGTTGGAAAATTTGGAGATTTTGTGACACCTAATCTAATTGAGAAATAGTCTGTTGATCGCGTTGACTATACAACACACCCTGCAAAAGAAAAAAAAAAAAAGAAACTGACTTTTGGTCCTTCCACTATAAAAAACTGGTCCTGTGACCAGACCGGTTGCTGACCTGGATAGTGTTTTTTATATTTTTTCTGTACACGTAGCAGCCGACTAACATATCCAACTCAGCAGTCCGTCAATAAAGTCATTTTTTATTTTTTTTTTATTTTTTTGTAGTTACAGGTTCTTTTGTAAAATCAACGCAACTATCAGATTATTTCTCAATTTGGTGTCAGTTACTGGACTAAATCTTCAATTTTTTCTACACCTGGTTATGTAAACTATCTCAGTTTTTCATTTTTTTAAGGAATGTGTTCTGCCCGCCGTTATAGAAGAACTTTCCGATGGAGTAACCTCTGAAAAAATTGAAGAACGGATGTGTCGTATCAAAGGAGATCAGAACTTGGGACATATTCTGGAGGTTGCAAACCCTCCTGCTACAATGATAAGGTTCTAAATTTTGCTCCACATATAGTTAAACTTTCTTTTGTATAATTGTTCCCAACTTCCCACTGTTTTATTGTTCCCAATGTTTGCATGATGATTCTTCTACGGGGGTTTTCACTTTGTAGTCTTAGTTCTCTTCTCCCTTTTTATCCATGTGAAGGGGACTCTTGATTGTTGTAATTGGGTATTGGAGTTATAAAAAGTTGCCTGTTGAAGAAATGTGTGACATTTTAGAAGATGATGAATGTGATGTCGTAGAAGATAAAGTTGACAATGTCGGTGGTGATGTATTGGACGAGAGACTTATGTTGGAAAGAGAGGTATATATACTGTCAACTATATCAAGTTCACTCATACCTTCCTTTTATTTCTACCTAGTTTAATATTGTCATTCTGTCTTGTTTTAATGAAATTTCAGGAACATAATGAGTGGTTGATGAAGTACGGCAGTCCTGTTCAGAAACTAGACGAAGTACGTACCTATTCATGTTTTTTGTTTTTTGGCGTTGTATAATAATAGTAACTATAATAATTCATCGTCAGTAATCTCTTAATCACCTTTTAAAATCATCATCGACTCATACCCGCATTTGTGTTTGTATGTATGAGGTAAAGCACACACTTTAGATTAGCAGATGGATAGCCAATGTGATATAATTCTTTTTTTACTTTGCTTAGGAACCAGCCATTGAAGAGTTGGCCGATGACTTAGAGAAAGATCCGCGCCTTTCTGAAAAGCTCAACAATGTATGGCATTCCTTCTCAACTATGATCCTGACAATGATGGCACCTTAATCTTTGCAAGAGGACATTGTGAATTAGCACACAAAGTCCTGGAGGATTCCCACTCTGTTCATCTGCTTTTTGAGAGAATTAAGAGGGTATCTCACTCCATTTTCTATTTTAAATTAATGTTACTTATTGGGGAGTAGAATTAATGTACCATTTGGTCTTGTGTGTGTGTCTCTTATGATCTTCTTTTGTTCTTTTGTTAGGACACTGAAGCTCGTTGTTTTGTATCCGAATCAGGCCAACGAGTAAAGGTTCGAACAGAGGATGATGCATTGGCTACAATTAACGACATCATTGGAGATCACGGGCTACAATGTTACAAGAAACGGATTGAAAATAATGAAGTTGGTCGTGCTCTAAAAAAAGTGACCCGAAGGGATTTTATTTTATTTTCCAACTAAACACACTTAATTGTTTATCTCTCTTAGAGTTTTCTTAAGTATTGTAATCTTGCACTGGATGCACAAAGATGTCTATGAGAAGGTGTCCCAAAAATTGAAAGAATATGGTCTAGCGCAACTGAAAGAATACACTGATTACAAGGATGCTATTGCTAGGGACAACAACAACATAAAGGGTGTTCTTCGTTACAGTACTAGATTTGCCGGTGATGTAAAGGTACACGCCCAATAGTAACTATATATGATTTCTAAAGATAATAATAATTTTTCTCTTGCTTCTATGTGCGCGCGTAGGAGTGCAAACGAGCCGAGTCGAGTCGAGCATTGGCCTTATCGAACATGATTGAGTTTTTTTTTTTAGCTGCTCGAGCTCATCTAACTCGATTTTTTAGGCTCGAGCTCGACTCGATAAGAAATTACAATAGCTCGAGCTCGGCTCGTGCTCGACTCGAAATCAAAATGCTCGAGTTCGACTCGAAAATTAGGTAAAATTATTATTAAGCACCTATGCTAATATATATAGTAAGGGGTATTTTTGTTATTAAACTATATCTCGAGTCGCTCGACAAGGCAAAATATAGGCTCGAGCTCGACTCGTGTTCGTGCTTGAGCAGCTCGAGCTTGACTCGAGTTCGGTCAAACTCAAGCTCGAGTCGAACTTTGACTTGAGCGCTCGCGAGCCGCTCGACTCGTTTGCAGCCCTATGCGCGCGCTCTTACCTTTTATTTCTTGATTGAAATCACCAGGATTTGAAGTTAGCCTTGGATGCGCTCTATGGTGGCAAACCTTACAGCCATATTTTTAGCAGGGTAAATTAATAAACTCCATACTACTTGTACTTAATTCTAAATTATACATATAATTTATGTTTTTGTATATTGAGATTTGTTTCGATTTTTATTTATTATTTAAACTTTTTACTCTATATCAGCTTAGGATTGCACAATATGGGGAGGAGATTTACTGTAGGAGGAGGCATTACGATGTTGAGATTGATTTCGAAGTTCATATGTCTAAGGGCGTGTGTATATGGACAACTCTCAAAGTTAGACGCAACTAATCAATTATATTAGATGAAAGGCCATATATATATTTGTTGTTGTTTTTATTGATTATTTATTTATCACGCAGGCTCCTGTTTAAATTTTAATTACTAGCAAGTAATGTAACATTGCATGTTGACTTTTTAACAATGTTGTAGAAGTAATAACAAGTTCAAGAAGATACGAGAAATTTACATACAAAACATAAATAAAATCCAAATTAAATAAAAAATTCACACCGATCGATATATTTAATCCAACACAAATTCCCCATGTCACCATCCATCCAACATATAAATGATCAACAACTAATCAAATTTAGTTGGTTGGTTTTAAATTTAAGTTAGTCGGTGGACTTTAAATAATGCCTAATTTATTTGGCTTTAAATAAACCCTAACTCTAAACTTTCATTGTTTAATTAATTAACCCTAACGGTAACTTATTGATGAGGGAGAAGATAAATTTTACTAGTCGGTTGGCTTTAAATTTATGGTAGTCAGTTGGCTTTAAATAAACCCTCTTTAACTCTAAACTTTCATTCTTTAATTAATTAACCCTAACGGTAACTTTTCCTCCGATCCCTCTAAACTCACGTTTTGACCATCATGTATGTTTATTATTTGGAATTACGGCTATTTTATTTATTTCTTTTTCTTTTTTTTTTTCCTTATTATGATTTCATAAATTTTTTTAATTCTAAATTCAATCTTCAACTCAATTAGAATTAACTTCCATCATTATTATCAATATAATTAAATAATATGAATTACCACACAATTTCCAACACATGCATTTCGTTTATTCACTCGCTCACATACTTTTCACTATCAATCATTTACCGGCCATTACTGTTTTACTACTTTTATGCCAAATTAACTTGCGTTCGGCTACGTGCTCCACCTAAAGATTGTCCGCTCCACCGTCCATTGATAGCTATTAAACGTCATCTCGCAAAA